CTTTACAGGGGTCCTCATAGGGGTCCAGAAACCCTCACACTGAGTGACAACTAGAGGCACTGGCATCACTGTCCATTTACTGATCTTTTAAGTGGTGAAATAACTGGCTACTCCTCTCCTGCCTCACTTAAAGATTAATGGTGTTGAGTTTTGTGAGCATCCTGAAAGTAATGTGTGCAGAATGCAGAATGGGACTGGCTTCCTGTGCCGTCTGCCCCATCACTATCCAGTCAGGACTTCTACTCCTGTAGCAGCTGACCACAGGCAGTGATGGTGCTCACATTAAATAACAGGGACAATCACATTCCTACAACCAACAACTGCATCTCAAATCAAGGTTAGAAGATGGTGGGAAAGGGGCCTAATGCATGCCTTTAACCCCAGCTCTCAGTCCAGGTGGATCTCAGTGAGATCAAGGCCAGCCTGGTCTACATAGTGAGTTCTAGGCCACATGAGGCTACAAGGAGACCCTGCCTCAAAACAAACAAAAACAAAACCAGGGAAGAAAAAACATGGAAAAGGTCTAAAATTCCACAAGGGTGGGTGCATCAAGGCAAGGAATGCCTCCTCTGCTGCCAGAAGAATCTTCTTCAGATTATCTGGGAGCCCCAAAAGAGAAAGTCTCTCCCTGAAGATGCTACAAGTTTCAAATACCTGCTACATTTTAACTATATCTAATCACTGCCTTATCTCCTAAGGAGTTCATTTTATGACAACCATTTTATAGCAAAGGAAAAAGTCAAAGGGAAATAGGAATTGGCCAAAAAAGGAAGGGTGCTAGACAAAATAGCAACAGGCCAGGCTCTAAGAAGCATAAAATCACCTTCACCTATGAACTATCAGCTCTAAATGAATGTCTCCTTCCCTGAATGGCTACATCACAGACCTCTGACTAGGTCAAGAAGGACCCAATAAGACAACCAGAGGGTATTTCTACTGTAACTCTTTTTTTTTTTTTTACCCACTTTTAAAAATTTTTTAGAAGAAGCATTTCATTACAGCTTTAACATACTCAATAACAATTTCCAGAGCAAAGATACATCTCTTTCAAAAGTGGCTATAAAATTTTTAGGTTCACAGTTGAATTAATACAGTTATACAATATTGAACTCAGTATAAACCTGTAAGACATAAAATTGAATGAGGTTTTAACCTTTAAAAAAGATCTCCATTTCATTTTAAAATATACCGTTTCTTACAGAAAGACTCATTGTTTTTGCTAATACCACTTAAATGTTGGCACATGCATCTCTAATCTGCAATTCTTATTTTATAGATGGGGAAACTGAGGCCCAGAGATGTGATATGTGATCTGACTTCTCTAAGTCACAGAGTGTATTAAAGATAAGGGAGGAGGAGGACTCAGGAGAAAAGTCTTTGAGAGTCTCTGGATGATGGTCTTCCCATCGCATCCTACCAGACCTTAGTCTGTCACTCTTTCTCTGACAGACTTCCACTGGAAGACATGCCATCAACACATATCATCATGCAGAATGTGCACTAATAACACTTTAAAATTAAAATGAGTCATTCGGGCTTATCTTCTTTACATTTCATTTGTTAGTACAACAACATTGCTGAAAATAAATGAACACAAAACAGTTTCAAAATATGGATGCAAGCTTCTGAAAAGCATTCAAATCATTCTGAAGACATGCTGTTCCAATCAAATTTAATCCTACACAACAAATCAAAAATGTTTTGCAAGAGAATGCTTACAGAATAATAATGGAAACCAATGGAGATATTCTCCGGAGATAAGACTTAAACCTGAAATTGCCATGGAATCAAGTGTCCACATCTTAGGAGGGGTGTTCTTGGACAGGTGACATTTATGTAAAGATGTTGACATCAAAAGTGACTATATATGGGGTTAGGGAGATGACTCAATGGGTAAAGCACTTGTGCTACAAGACTGAGGACATGCATTGAATCCCTTATAAAAGCCAGGCAAGGTAGCACATGTCTGTAATCCCAATGGCTCCTACTACAAAATGGAAAGTCTTGGGGCACCTAGCCTGGGGTACAAAGTAGCAATGAAGAAGAAAGAGACCCTGTCTCAAAGAAAGTGGAAGGCACAAAAAGTAGCAGACACCTAAGGGGTCCTCTGACTGCCACGTATGTGCATGGCAAGGACACAGACACAGACACAGACACAGACACACACACACACACACACACACACATACACACTATACAATATGTAAAAAGCTTAATAGCAGTCTTGTCCCATAACAGCCATTGATAATAAGTTAGTTTCCTTATACCCAATGAAATAAAATATCACCCATATAATTGGTGATAACACAATACTTTCCTAAAATGCTGTCCTATGTCTCTGGAAACCTTAAGGTATTATATCACAAAGGTACTATCTATTTAAAAGTGTAACTGAAAAAAATAGAGACATAAGATTCCATTTTTCTAAGGAGATAAAGGTGGATACCCAGTAAGCAGAATGAACAGCATTAACACTATTCTAATAATCACGGGAAGGCTTTCAAGTATTCATTCCTGCTGTAATGGAAAAAGAATTCAGTGTTTGCTTGCTGTGGTTTCTCTGCTGGCAGAAAAGTCATCAGAAAATAAAAACATGACATAAAAAGGAATTGTTCTGAAATACTATTTGCACATGTGTGTTTTTGCATTATTTGCCTTTTCCCAAATAATATTGTAGTCGGCATTTACATTACTCCAGCTAAGGGTAAAATTGTTACTCTGGTTCATTTTAGCTCTGCAAGCTTTTCAAGTACTACTTTATAAGTTTCAGAAAGCTGGGGCTGGAGAGATGTCTCAACGTTAAGAGCACTGACTGCTCTTGCAGAGGACTGGGGTTCAGTTCCCAGCACCCACATGGCAGCTAACAACCATCTATAATTCCAGCTCCAGGGAATCCCACACCCTCTTCAGACCTTCGTGGGCACTGTACAACACAGATGCACCTACATACATGCAGGCAATACACTCATACACATAAGAAATAAAATAAAAATAAATATTTTTTTAAAGTTTCAGAAAGCAGGATCTAACTGGTTCCTTAAAGGTGAGCTATTTTTTTATTAAAAATTTTATTATTTTTATTTTATGTGTATTTGTGTATTGCCTACATGTAGGTTAGTACACCCATGTTGTGCAATGCCCGAGGAGGTCAGAAGAGGCTGTTGGATCCCCTGGGACTGGAGTTATGGACAGTTGTTAGCTGTGATGTGGGTACTGAGATTTGAACCCAGGTCTTCTGCAAGAACAACCAGTGTTCTTAACTGCTGAGCTATCTCTCTAGCCCCAAAGGTGAGCTATTTAAATTATGCATTTGAGGGAGGAATAAATAACAGTGTAAGATACCAGCCCCTTCCCCAGACACAGTCTCAACCTGAGTCCTTTCTCAAAGGCTCTGAGTAAGCATCACACATGGCATCTCCAGTTTCTGAGGTCTTTGGAGAGGTTTCTATTAATGTCACACAAGAACAAAAGGACAGTCTTTAAAAGTCTTGTTCCTGTAGTGGGCTAGGCCCACCACTGTACACTGCTGCCACCTGCATTCTCCCCACATTTCTGCCTACCTGGGGAGTCCCCAACCTCAGAACAATCACCATCTTCTCAAACTGATGCCATTTGTAAGATTCTACTAAGAGTCTCTGAGTTCTGAGAGAAACTGTTGAGCAAATTCTGCTTTCAAGCTACAAATTGAAAAGACAAATCTGCTCCTTGTTCATAAAGAAACACCCCTCAATGGTTCTGTTTCTGAAAGGCCAGCCACACAGATTCAGGTACTCTCTCATGGCCATTTGAGGGAAAGTTCTGCAATATAAATAAATATATGAAAGAAAAAAGACTTAAGAGATCAAATCCTACAACAGATCAGCTGCCATTATTTGTTCTTAAATCCATAATATAGAGAAACAAATGACAAAACAACCGTTTCCCAAAGTTTCATTTCTTGAAATGAGACTGAAATGCCCTGGCTGCTATCGGTGTACGACGATCCTTTAAGAATTTCACTTAAGTCATCCAGCACAACGTAAAGCCAGTGAGGAAGGACTTCTTCCAACTGCCCCTCTAAGTGCCTAAGCTTCCAACACTGACCTAATTTTCTCCATTTCAGCCCTTCCTAACCACTCAATCCATCCCAAAACGACAGTGACAGCGGTGGCTCTAAAACTGTGCAGAACTAGACTACAAAACGGTCCCAACTCGCAGTCCGATCTCTCCAATTTTTTTAAGTCCCACGCTCCCTCAGTCTTTTGCGCCTGACCTCTTGGTTCCAGACCTCTTCACTGACATGAAGAGACCACCTCTCATTGTTTCTACGGGACTCTGTATCCCTCCCTCCGCCCAGCTAGTTTTCGTCGCACAAATGTCATTTCTAGCGTCCGAGCCTCCATTCCTCCCGGCGGGCGGCAGTGGGGCGTTCGGGACCACACTGGCCAGCTTCCCTGATCCGGCCCCTGCACACAGCCATTTTCTAGTTTAAAGGCTCGCTCTCTCTGCCTGGGGAGGGCACAGGAACTTTCCCCCCTCCTCATCTCTGGCCAGCTGGGCTCTGCACCCCCGGGAGACGCTGGCCAGGTCTCCAGGTCCTCGGTAGGCGCGCGCCGGGCGGGGAGGCCGGTGCCAGGGCAAGTGGGCGTGCGCTGCTCGCCGCCCGCGCCCACCCGCACTTTGCCCTCCGCAGTCCCCGCCCGGGCACAGCCCTGTGACCCGGTGTCCTCGCCCCAACCCCCGCCAAGCCCGGAGCTGCGGAGGGATGGGAGTGAAGGAGCAGCCCGCAGCCGCGCGCACCAGCCCTGCAGCGCGGGACTCCGCAACGAGCGCCCGCTGCAGATGCGGCGGCAGCTGCTGCAGCTGGGGCTGCGGCAGGGCGGGTGGCAGACACGCCAGGAGCCGAGCGGCAGGCGTTGGGGACACGCGTGGCCAGACTCGCCGCTGCCCGGTCTCCCGCCGCACTCCTGGGCCGCCCCCAGAGTCCCCCGGCTAACGGCGAGGAGGGAAGCGGGGCTCACCAACGCGGCGCGCGGCGCTCACTCGGTTCCGATGCCCGGAGGCTCGGCTTGCGTCTACCCTCCGCGGGGCGCCGAGATCAGCTGCGGGGTTGCAGCACGCGAGCTTCCTACTTGAGAGCAGCACAGGCTCCGGCGACTGAGCATGCCCAGTGCGGCTCCTCGAGGCCCGCGCTGGGAGGGGCGCGGGCGAGATTCCACTTCTCCAGGCTTTGGCGGCGGCTGCGCGAGGAAAGGCTTGGAGGGGCCTGGCGGAGCCCAGGAAGGACCCGGCAAGGCGGGGCCAGGGGTGGGGCCGGGGCGGAGTCCCGGGGCGGGGCGGAAGGGGGCAGGGCCGGGGAAGGGGCGGGGTCGTGAAGGGGGCGGGGCCGGGGAAGGGGGAGGGCCGCGCTCCCAGGGCGACCCCTGCAGGTGGAGGCTGCTGAACCTGCAGCAACCAAGTCTGCACAGCGGAAAGACTGTGAGGAGGCAGGGGACTAGGAGCAGCCGGGGCATCCCCTCCATGTGGCCTGGCGTCTGTCTGCACAAAAGGCAGTTGAGAACTTTTCTCCCACACGTCTGCATTCCTTTGGAATGGGAAAATATCCCCAGATGAGGCTGCCCACAGCTGTCCAGGATTGTCTGAAGGTTAGGAGGTGAGACCTTCCTTCTTCATCCTTAGCCCCACGCCCACACATGTGCCACACGCTAACATTTCCTGCATTGGAAAATCACACGATGACGCAAAGCAAAAAACACACCTACGGAAAGGAAAAATATAATCTCCTACCTCCAATATATTAGCTGTAACATGGTTTGTAAGCTGACAATGGTGGATTCTCAGTAAATGACTCTGCTGCAGGCACTTTGAATCACATCCCCCGATCCTTAGGCTGCTCTTCACCAAGCCAGGGGTTGTTAAACTGGAGCCTAGTTCAGATTCAATGGGAAGGCTGCTTAAGCCCCATTCCCAGAGGCTGAACTGGTGGATTTGTGAGGATCTGTCGGTTACAAATTTCCTGGACTAGCTTTGAGGACTCTCTATTAACAGTTCACAGAAACAGCACAACCTACCATCTCCTTTAGAAACATAATCGTGAAAGTAAATTAATCGTAACTACAAAGTAATGGCTTTTTCTCAGCCATCCTTTCCTAGTGCACTCTTTACTCAATAAACTCAGGCTATATCCTTCCTTATTCATGTGTGGACTCCATGCTGTGGAGGTAGGCATTGTTTCTACCTTCATTCATCATGAGTTTATTGACGTTCCACAAAGCCTACTAGGCCTGGGAATAGAAGAGAATTTAAAAGCCCAGCCCCTGCCTTCAGGGCATTTGCAGTGTAGCAGGATGACAGGTAAGCATCAAATACTTTCTCTGAAACTCCATCTCTGCCGTCTCCAACACGGAGCATACCAGGAGGACAATACACAAGGTGTTGATGTGTAAAAGAAAACTGATATAGGCTCAAAATGGAGTTATTGGGGAGACCTCATGTGATCGAGGAGTGCCTGGCTTTGATCCTATAACCTCTTCTATGAACAATATTTCCCGCAGACTCAACTGGAAACCAATAGTTGATCCTTCTACAAAAGGAAAATCAGTACAATACAGAAAACGCTCCATAAATCAATGCAAATGCTCAGTGTCGGGGCAGTCCACGATTGGCCTAACGAGTCCTGTGAACCACGGACAGTCGAAGGCCATGGTTCAGTTACTCACTCAGGAAAAACTGCAGGGACCCTTATGACTACAATCTGCGTCCTTCAGACCCAGTCAGAAGAGGAAAAGAGCCCAAGCCCACCCCACGCATCATGGAAGCGATGGGCAGCCGGCTACCACTCCAGTCCTCTTCCAGCGCGATATCACCCCCTGGACCCCGGTGGATGTCCGGCGCCCACCGTGACTCCCGCTTCACCAGGGCTGAGGGAGCGAGCCACACCTGCTCCCTCCAGACCCCCAGTAAAACCCACGTTGGAGTCACCGAGGAGGCTGCGGGGCGGGGTGACGCGCAAGCGCAGTGGGCACCAGGTTGAGCAGAGGAGGCGTCCGGTTCCACACCTAATGCAATCAGCCTTCCGGAAACCCGCACCCTGGAAAGGTATCCGCACCTGCTGCTGCTGCTGCTGCGCCCCCCGCCGGGGTCCGCAGCCTCCTCACCGCATCCGAGGTTACGGCACATCCCCCAAGGGAACCGTGGGAATAGCTGGGAAGTCACCTCCCCAGGCAAACTGAATCCCTAGATGCCCCAGGAGTGACGTGGTCCTGCTGCTCCTGGAGGAAATTCCTTCAATTATTTCCAGAGTACAAGGGCGGAAGCTGGAGAGCTGACTTGGAACCCTCCAGTGCTTCCTTCCTTCATCTAGCCCCTGCACACATTTTCTTCTCTCACCCTGAAAGGGATGTAAGATGGAGAGGACTCCCTGGCACCCTGTCAGACTGGCTAAATACATAACCGCGCCTTAACTGGGCTGCAGAAAGCTTGCCACCGCGCACTCATTTTATAAATAAGTAATTGGTTTCTCTGTACCTCATCATTTAAGTTTATAAAGAAAATCGTTTCTCATTTTACCACCTCATGCAATTTTGATAGCTATTGTGAGGGTGGGGTGGATTCCTTAGTGCTGACTCACACATGAATTGTTTTCTAAGGAAATATTTCAAGATATTCTAAATGTGTGTTTTATAAGGTATGAAGTAAACCGTGTGAACAGCGCATAAAAATTATTCCCGTAAGCTCCATAAGGCATAGGCCCTCGTAAATGGACGTGGGAATTTCACTGGGAAGGATACTTGAGACAACATTCTAAAACAACTCTACAAGTCTTAGATTTTATAGACATTTACCTCTGTATGCTCCAGAGATGTAAATGACTTCCTTAAAGGAGACAAATCAACCTAGTGTGGTGCCATATGGCTGTAGACCCAGCATCAGGGAGGCTGAGGCAGGAGGACAGTGAATTCAAGACCAGCCTGGGCTTCATGGTCAAAAAACTAAAAGCAAACCAGAGGCAGAACTGGTACTGGGACCCAGGAAACTCCAACTTAATGAGGGCAGAAGGAGACTGTGAGACTATTAAAATGCCGATTTCTTTTTCTATTGTGAAGTGGGGGACAGGACCTTGTGTAGCCTAGGTTGGCCTCAAACTCCTATCTCAGCCTCCCTAGTGCAGGGATTACAGGTTAGGATTGCAGGTGACTACCACCATGCCCAGTTGGATTCATACAATGTTGTTTTTCAACCCGAAAGTTACAAGTACCAAACTGGTGGCAACAAAGGAGATCCTATTATTTGTTCCTTCTAGTGAAGTAATTAGGCTTTAAATAGTCCTTGATCAACAACCTACCCAACCATCTCTAAGGTAGCCAAAGACTGGGCATTAAGTGTGTCAATCAAAGTAGTATGAAACTGGAGCTGGAGAGATGGCTCAGTGGTTAATTGAATTTGTTGTTCTTCCAAAGGCCTTACCTGGGTTGGGTTCTCAGCACTCACATGGCTTCTAACAACTGTCCTTAACTCCAGTTCCAGGGTATCCATCTCCCTCTTCTGGCCTCTGTGGGCACTACATGTACATGTACATGCATGGGGTGCACTTACACATAGGTAAAACACTCATAAAGAATAAAAACTTTTAAGTGGTATAAAATCTTCAGAATTTCAGGACATCAAGAAGTCTTTCATGCCAATATTTATAGTTTATAATATTTTTAATTGATCATGTGTTGTATGAATGGTTTAAGATTAAGCCAAAGGAATTTTAATGATCACAACAAAGTATCAGGGTCCTCATTTGCTTAGTAATGATTTAAAATACTTCCATAATATGGAAATCAAAAGAAAATACAAAAATAGCCTCAACACTCATGGTTACAATAACATCTAAATAATAACTCTTCAGAGCTCTACCCTTTATCTTGATGAATGTGTGTTTCTTTTTGGAATGTTCTGACATTTAGAGATCTGAGAGAATACCTTCCACATAAGCAAAAATAGAGTGGTGTAAATGTCAAAACACAGAGGTGCAAAGTAGAAACGCATCACAAGGTGCTGGATATGGAAGAGCTAGCTTTTCCTGAGTGTGTACCAGAGGCTGGGGAGGTACATTACCTTCTTGTTTCACTTGGTTCACTTCTTCACTAGAACCCCTGAAGGAGATGTATGGATTCCTACATTACCCATAGAGAAGGTAAGGTTTGAACATGTGAAATAACTAAAGAAAGATATAATATGTTTGGAGGCAGAACTAGAAGTTGAACCAGGCAGTTTGTCCAGAGACAAGCTCCTGGTTGGTTGCTTGCTTGCTTGGTTGCTTGGTTTGGATTTGGGTTTGTTTTTAGTTTTTGTTTTTGTTTTTGAGACATGGTCTCATGTAGCCCAGGTTGGCCTTGAAGTTGTTATATAACTGAGGCTGGCTTTGAACTCCTGATTCTCCTGCCCCCATCTCTCCAGAACTGGGATTATAGGTATATGCCACCATGTCCAGCTATGCTTGTGCCCAGAAAAATATAAATATGGAGAAAATTATTATTGCAGTTTTGTTTTATGTAAGAGAGTCCTGATGAAGATGAGACTTGTAACTTTTATATTTTTCTTTCTTTCTTTCTTTATTTATTTATTTATTTATTTATTTATTTATGGGTTTTCAGAGACGGTCTCACTCCGTAGCCCACGCACCTGGTCTTCAACTCATGGCAATCCTCCTGCTTCAGCCTCCTGAGTTCTAGGATTCTAGATCTATGCCACCACTTCCAGCTCTTCCTGGTCCTTCTTCCTTTTCTTTTTTCTTTCTTTCTTTCTTTCTCTCTTTCTTTCTTTTTGTTGTCTTGCTGTGTTGGTTAATTGGTTGGGTTGCTTGGTTTTTTTCTAGTTTGGGCTTTTTTTGTTTCTTTGTCGGGGGGTGGTGATGTTTTGAGACTTGGTCTCACTCTATTCCTCTGGCTAGCCTCCAACTCATCAGGACTCTCCTCCACCAGCTCCTGACTGCTGAGAATACAGCAATTCTCTTTCTTAAGATAAAATTTGACATCAGAAGTTGATGGTCCACACTAGGAAGAACGCCTGTGAACTAATGAATCATGGTTCCTAAGCTTCAGGCCAGTCTTACATAAGAAACAGATGACCATATACTTACTGGTTTCTCGGTAGTGCCAGCCTGGTCTCCTTCAGTGGTCACTCTGTGCCTGGCTAGTGGCTCTAGATCCAAACTGTTCAGTATGGTGGTCAATAGCCATATAGACTTATAAATCTCAAAATTAACTATAATCAA